TCACAGAGTAACCATTTCATTTATTGGAAATTAAGTGTTTCCAAATTTGTAAAGATGGGGAAGCGGAAGTATCAGTCACTTAGTCCTGTCCAACTCTTTGCAACCCCATGGACTGGAGCCCTCCAGGTTCCTCTGTCTCTGGAATTCTCCATGCAAGCATACTGGAATGGGTAGCCCTTCCTGCCCTGCAGACAGATTCTTTACCATCTGAGCCACCAAGATGATGAACAGGTTTGCAGATATCTCTTTGCTTATATGTCATTAGTTCTTAGAATCAGTTCTCAGAGTAGAATTATTAAAAATGTTTAAGGCAAAATATATATCACCTAATTATATCAAGAAAGAGACACTCTATTTTCTTTATATAGCCACTGAATATTATAACTTAGAAAAATGTTGTTTTATTCTAACTGCTTTAATTTGTATTTTTTTTTTGTTAAGAATCAGGTTGAATAGTTTTTTTCTTTTAAAAAAAATAAACAAACTAGCTTTATACATATAAATGAATCACTGGGCTGTATACCTAGAACTAACAAGATATTATAAATCAACTGTGTGTGTGTTGGGGTGGGGGAGGGTATGTAGATTCAGTCCTAGTCCAACTCTTTGCAACCCTATGAACTATAGCTGCCAAGCTCCTCTGTTCATGAGATTTTCCAGGCAAGAATATTGGCGTGGGTTGCCATTTCCTCCTCCAAGGGATTTTCCCGACCCAGGGCTCAAGCCCACGTCTCTTGCATCTCCTGCATTAGCAGGTGGACTCTTTTCCACTAGCACCACCTGGGAAGCCTATAAATCAACTATGTGCATGTTGCTGTTCAGTTGCCCAGTCGTGTCTGGCTCTTTGTGACCCCATGAACTGCAGTACACCAGGCCTCCCTGTCCCTCACCATCTGCCAGAGTTTGCACAAGTTGATGTCCACTGTGTGTGGTACATCACTAAATCAACTGTGTGCTTAGTCACTCAATCATGTCCGACTCTTTGCCACCCCATAGACTGTAGCCCACCAGTCTCCTCTGTCCATGGGGATTCTCTAGGCAAGAGTACTGGAGTGGGTTGCCATGCCCTCCTACAGGGCATCTTTCCAACCCAGGGATTGAACCCAGGTCTCCCGCATTGCAGGCAGATTCTTTACTGACTGAGCCACCAGGGAAGCTCAAATCAACTATAATTCAGTTAAAAAACAACAGCAGCGAGCAGTACAGCTGTTTACCCTGGAGGAGGCTAGGTCAGGATACACGGGACCACCCTCTGCACTTCTTTGCACCTTCCAGTGAACTGATAAATATCACAAAATAAAAAGTAAAACCAAAAATTTTACGTTTGGTATTTTTTGTGAATAAGGTCTTTTTTTTTCTCATATATTTGTTGAGGACTTAAGTTACCTGCTCTTACCTGTTAATTATTTACATATCAAAGTCATTACCACCTATTTAGTATTATCTAAGTCTGTCATTTTTCACTGAAAACATTTGTTCCTAGTCTATTATTTGGCTAATTTTTCACATACACCACTTCTTTTCCTTAAAAAAAATAATAAATCCAAATCTCATCACCGTGTCTTTTGTAATTTTTTTCTGTTGGTCCCACATTTAGGACATCCTCCCTACTCTGGCCATTTGATACATATTTAAATCAATATTTTCCAGTTTGCATTTAACTCTGATTCACTAGTGATTTATTTTAGGGTGCAATGGAAAGATTTAAACTGCTTTCAAGCTGTGTCAGCCTAACTTATTGAAAAATTCATCTCTTTCCTATTGATTTTTGAGCCTTTTCTATCATAAATTTATTTCATTCTTTTTTTATGTAAAATGGTGCTATGCCTGAAATAGTTATTCTGTCCCAGTCTTACCCCATCACTGCCATATTTTCACTACTGGAGCTTTACCACGTGTTTTATTTTGTGGCTTGGCCTGTCCTTCCTCACCACCCAGCAGTATGTTGCTGTTGAGGAGACAAGTGCTTGGGACTCAATAGACCCGGACTTAAATCCCAGCTCTACCCTTTACTCTCTGTGTACCCTGGAAGAAGTTATTTAACCTCTCTGGGCTTTAGTTTCCCGGTCTCTAAAATGAAACTACCATCACCTATCTCATAGAGTCATGATTAAGATTTTATGAGATAATGCATTCAAGTGCATGTGGAATATAGCAAATAGGCGGTTAAAAGAATCAAGTTTCCTCTTGTTTTACACTTTTCTTTCAAGTTCTCATTTATTTCGTCTCTTAAATGGACTTTAGATGTCGTAGGATATTATCCCCAAAGTCACTTGGCCTTTCATTTGGAATTTAAAATAAAATAACTCAAGAATTCATAACCTGGTAATAGTAAATGTTCACATTCAGAAATTTAAAATAGAAGTACTTGATAGGATATGACAGTAATTTTTGATAGGAGGGGAGATTTTAGAATCCAAGTAGATTTTAGAACACCAAAGATGAATAATTTGTGCAGCAAAAAGGTAACAGAAGGGAAGCAAGGAAACAAAGAGGGCCTAAAAACAGAGTACCCTGGGCTGACCCCAGTGTGGGGACTGTCATTCCCATAGTGTTTGAGAAGCTACCCAAGCAAAGGACACTGGAGTCTGGCTTTCTGGCTTTGGGCAGCTAATTCTACTCACTCTCTTATTTCCTGAAGGCAACAATGGCTTTTCCTTTACTGGGAAAGTCAGCCTGAGTCACTCTGTGAAAAGCAGGATAAAACATGGGCCACAGAAAATCACTGAGAGGGGAACTAGATCAATGAGACAACTGCACCATCAATTCAAGACTCCAGAAGGTCATTTTGGAAGGTATGAGTTTGAGGATGTGATGGCTCCTCCTCAAAGGCAACGAACAGCATTTAAACCTTTAGATACATTACTTGTGGGACACAACTTAAAAACATGCATTTAAAAAGACCTATGGTTTTGGTTTCCTTTCCCAAAAGCAAATAGCCCCAGGTGTACACATTGAATATAAATTAATAAAACCATAAATTAAGGGTCAACTTGCCATTTATCTCTTTAACAGCTTGTTAAATACATTAATGTAATTAGGTGATAATATGCTACTAAGATCGTGGCATCTGGTTCCATCACTTCATGGCAAAAAGATGGGGAAACAGTGGCTGACTTTATTTTTTGGGCTCCAAAATCACTGCAGATGGTGATTGCAGCCATGAAATTAAAAGACGCTTACTCCTTGGAAGGAAAGTTATGACCAACCTAGACAGCATATTAAAAAGCAGAGACATTACTTTGCCAACAAAGGTCCATCTAGTCAAGGCTATGGTTTTTCCAGTAGTCATGTATGGATGTGAGAGTTGGACTATAAAGAAAGCTGAGTGCTGAAGAATTGATGCTTTTGAACTGTGGTGTTGGAGAAGACTCTTGAGAGTCCCTTGGACTGCAAGGAGATCCAACCAGCCCATCCTAAAGGAGATCAATCCTGGGTGTTCATTGGAAGGACTGATGTTGAAGCTGAAACTCCAATACTTTGGCCACCCGATGCGAAGAGTTGACTCATTTGAAAAGACCCTGATGCTGGGAAAGATTGAGGGCAGGAGGAGAAGGAGACAACAGAGGATGAGATGGTTGGATGGCCTCACTGACTCAATGGACATGGGTTTGGGTAGACTCCAGCAGTTGGTGATGGACAGGGAGGCCTGGCATGCTGCAGTTCATGGGGTCGCAAAGAGTCAGACACGACTGAGCGACTGGACTGAACTGAACTGATGCTGCCTGGAAAGAGGCACCGAACACCAGTGCCATGGCGTTCGGCAGCAAGCCACCCTCAGGGACAGTCGGCCACCATGACTGAGCCTTGCTTCAGCCAATCCACAGATTTATTCAGAAGAGGACCTAACTGGTGAGCATGTTTCTTTGCCCAAGCCTGAAATGAAGGCCCCTGCAGATAACATTTCAGTGTTCTGTCCTGCCGGGGACTCAATTTAGGTCTGGGCTAAAAACTGATTGAAAAGATCTCTTGGGGGCAGTGAAGATGTAGAGGAATTTCATGGTGAATCGCTGATGTGTATCTCAGAAGTAATAAGAAGCCTGCCAGCCCTGAGGAGAGAGGGTACCACCCTCATCAGAAAGGGTTCCCATTAAGTCAGGGCATAGCCTGTGCTTCACATGGAGGTAGATGTCCGAGCTTCTTGGTCTGATTGATTCCAGCATCTTATCTGCCCATCATCCAACACAACAACATTGCAAGGAGTAAAGGTATTATGTCAGGGTGTGTTTTCTTTGACGACAGAAAAAGGAGGAAGATGTATTAAACATAGAAACTCCTTTAAAAAATTTACAACCCTTGTATCTGATCTTCCTTATTTTTTATGGGCTCAGTCTAATGCACTTGTTAATGAAAAATTTAGCACAATTGAGGCAGGCATATAAGAGATGGCTAAAAACTATTTTGACTTTCACTACCCTTCTGTACTGATTTTTTTTTTCCAAGTCATCCACTTGGATTTTTCTGAACTTTCTCATTTTAAGCATATTCAAAGAATCTTTTGGATAAACACCCCGATTCTTGAGAAAACATATTTTTAACATACTATAAACTGACCAAGACACTTCGATTGTAATATTTCCCCCCACCAAAGGTACAGCTGTATTTAAAAAAAAAAAAAACACAGGAAATGGAGAAGGAAACAGTCATAAAGAAAGCGGAGAGAGGTTCTCAGAGGGGGAGCTAGGATTCTATCAGTAGGAGAAAGTGAGGTTTATTCAGAAGTAACAGGAGAAATTATTTGTCTCTCAGTCCCCACTCCAGTGGGACTCCCACTCTTATCAAGAGAAAAGGGTGATCCTTAGGAGGATAATGGGATAAAGAAATAGAAAGGGAAGAAACATTCTAGGGGGAAAAGCAGTTTAGAAATGCAGTTGGCAGCACACTTTCAAGGAAGCCTTGGGAACGGCAGCCGTCATGGTGAGGGCAGCACCCCTCCCGGGGCAGGAGGGAGGCTCCAGGGAGGGACGGAGGGCATCGTGTGGGAGCAGGGCGGGGCGACATTACCGGAGGAGAGCCTTACCCACCTCTGCCAGACCGTCACCCGACTTGGCAGCAGCAGGGAGGTCGAGGAGCAGAGACTCGGCATGGATTCTGCATAAGCGTTCTTTAAGATCTGTGTTTTGTGCTAGGGCCTGGAACACGTTAAAAATAGTGGGGCTCTGTTAATCAACGGATGTTTCCAAAAGCACGGCGGTAAGCCCAGTGTGGAGGAGCCCTCAAGGGGGCACCTCCTGGACGTCTTTCTTGAACATTATCCAACAGGATACTGGTGCCTGGCAGATATGAGCTATTAAACACTGGGAATGCAGACCCTTCTCGACTCTCATTTCCAGGGATGAAAGTAAGGGTTAGTAAGGTTTTTCTTTCAGTGAAGAAGGAAATCACACACACCTGTAAGCCCTTATTGCTCGTGGTTTCTTGGCCCCTCCTCCTTCTCAGCTGCCTCAGTCTCTTTGAACAGCTCCCCCTAAAGATTCCAAGCTTCTTTCTCATCTGTAATAAAAATGCTGCTCCCACCTCCATGTGACTGGCCATATTTTAATGTTCTGTCACACTGGTTGAGTAGGGTCTTAGAGAGTGTGCTGAGAAGTAAGATTTTGCAGAGGATTAATTTTACTGTTTTACAACATAGGTATTGATTGTTTTATGTTCATTCTTCATGGCTAAGATAGTCTATTTAAAAAAAAGAGAGAGAGAGAGAGCTCACTTACCTGGATGGGGCTAAGCACCAGGGCCCTGGGAAGGGGTTGTGAGCTCTTGTCAGCCCACCTGGACCTCTTTACTTCTTCTCCCTGGGCAGGTCTGAGTCCCCTGCCCACCCTCCCAACTAGGAAGGTAAAGGAAGGTGTTTTCCTTCATGGTGGTTTTCCCTGTGCTTCAGGACCAGCGTCTTTCAAATGATCTTTCTTTGAAAGGGACAACTTCACCTGATTGTCTCCTACCCACTCCCACAATCAGTTCCCCAGGTGCCTGTACACAAATCCATCCTGTTCGTCTGTCTTCCTGACTTTCTTCTGAGAAGCTCAGAGCCTTTCCCATCCATCAGGGCCCATAGGCTACCCCTGCTGAGAGCACAGAAGGGTGTTCATATCTCACCCACTGTCTGGATCTCAAACAAGAATTTTGTCTTTATTTTTTAGTATCCACAGTTGGAATGGATTATTTGGAAATTCTGAACGGTCATTTAGGAAACACTGAATAAATGTGTCTTAAAGCACACAACTACATTTAAAAACCTCTATGGGGCACTCACTTTGGCCAATTCATTGCTGGCCTCTTACACAGTGGCTAGAGTAGATACCAGTAGCTAGAATCTCCAGATAGCCTGAAAAACATGCTATTTTAGTAGGTTCTCTTTCCTTTGTGAGCCACAGGCAGAAGAGAAAGAAAAAAACAACACAAAGTTTGTACATTCAACACAGATTCATTCTGATAGCCCTGAGATAACTCTCAAATTTTTATTTTTAAAAAACAAGCCTTGAATCTAATGAGGAATCCAAGACAAAAAAGAAGTAAATGATCATTTTGTTTTATCTCAACTTTCTAATGACTGTGGCCAGGGACACCATAGCCAAGTGGGTCTCATGGCCTCTACCAGACCAGCAGATTAACAAAATGAAGCTGGACCTCACACAGGAGGAGGGCAGGGAAGAGGAAGACCACAGTGAAAGGGACGTTGGGGAGCCCATCAGAGGTACCTTCTAAAGGCACTAAAAGCAACCTACTTGGAACAATAAGAAATGCTTTCCCCCCTAACCCTGGCAACCACTAATCTGTTTATTATCTCTGTATGTTTGCTTTTCCAGAATATCATATGAGTGGATCAGTACATAGTCTTTTCAGGCTGGCTTATTCCAGTGAGCAATATCCATTTATGACTCATATCTCCCCTACCTGAACCTACATAGAAAGTTCAGTAACACTTCAGAAGGTAATTGTGTGTGCACACACTCTCTCTTTTCATAGCAAGGATTCTACATAGAAGTAAAGCATAGGAACAAGTAAGTATGTTCTTTTAAAAGTTCTCCAGTTTTTGAAAGATTTAGAGTGAATAATCAGATACTGTCAGCTATTCAAAATATCATACTAGGACACTGCACTTCAACAGAGCCCAGTTCTTCTGAGGAATAAACTGCAATCAATGGGGAAAAAAGGAGAGAGTGTGAATGACAGCCTGGCTCCCTGAAAAACATTTGAAGCTTGGCAGTGATTTTTCTGTTTATTAAGAAGGCACAATTACTGCCTGAGACTCCTTATGACTCATCTCTTTGTGCCTACGGGGGGAGCAGGTGGGAGCTAAATGTTTGTACTATCAAATCAAATCACTTGCCTGTCTTTGAAAGAGACAGGCTGTAAATAGGTAAACAGGATTAACCCTGTTTGAAGAGTGTGAATTCAAAATCTCACTCTGCTGTTTGTATCTAACAATTTGGAAAATCAGTCAAAGCCTGTGAAATCTTAGGTATGGAAATCTGCAAACCATCAGACTTTGTAAGCATTAACAAACAAATGTCTATAAGACAAACACGTAATAAAGGCTTTACAAAAACAGAAAACTCAAGATAAATAGGAGGAAACCAAACAGTATCTGATGCTCAATGAAATATTTGCTACTAAGATTTGGGGTAGGCTCAGCTTTGGTGTTTAGAATAAGCAGATCTGATGAAAGGTCAGAATATAATTTGGATAATGTGTTTGGTTTTCTCATGAATTTTCAACACAACCATGGCGATGGAACACATAAAAAGTTCATGAGCCCAGACACACTGTCAGGCATTGCTGTGACTCAGAGATGTAACTTACGGATGACAGGGCATGCTTCAGACCAAGGACCTGGGCAGAGGGGGAGGCAGAAACATCTTGCTCCATCAGTTGCTTCAGTTTCTCTCTCTCCGTTGATATGGTGTTAAAAGCTGACCTTAAAGTGAAGTAGACTATAAAGATATAATCATTATAAAAAGTAATAAAGGAAGAGGCATAATTAAAAACAAGAAACAGAGAATTCTTAAAAGAATTTAGAAAAGTAACAGTCATGAATATTTCTCATTCAGCAAATGTACCCTATTTTGACTTTAAAAAATACATCTGAAATGTACAGCACCAAAAGTGAACCCTAATGTAAACCATGGGCTTATGGTGATAATGATGTTTCAGTGTAGGTTTACTGACGCTCAAGAAATAGACTTCTCGGTGGGATGTTGATAGTGGATAAGGTTGTGTATGTGTGTATGGTGGAGTGGGTATGGGGACACCAAACTTCTTGTTCAGTTTGCTGTAAACCTAAAACTACTCTAGAAATTAAGGTCTATTAAAATTTTGAAAATCACACACATTTGTCAATTCCAAAGTCCCTATCCACTATAAAATTTCATGATGTTATGACCTGTTACCAATATATTTTGACACTTGAAAGGACTATACTTTTCAATTATCAACATTTAGTTTTGTTTGTATCCCTAATGACTGGAAATGTTTGCAAACACAACTTATTGGGATGTTGGAAGGAAAATGGTACTAAGGCAGAGGAGAAACTAGACAGCACCTTAATTTGTTTTCCAAAATTAATCACCAGTGAGAATCTGATAGACTTTGTGTACCTTGGGACTTTGTGTGATACCCTGAAAAGACACAGTTATTTTTGTTGAACACCAGCCAAGGATAGGCCATCTGAATCTGATCATGAGGAAATATCACACAACCCTAGAATGAGGACCATTGTATTTTTAAAAATTGGCCTGTATTCTTCAAAACTGTCATTTCATCAAAGAAAAGACAGATTCAGGAACTGTTCCCAATTAAAGAAGACTAAAGAGATATGATAGTTAAATGCAATCTATGACTACGGACAAGATTCTGTACTGAAGGGGAAAAGAGCTATTATGGGATATTGTGATAATTGACATTTGAATATGAAAGGCAGAATAGGTAAAAGTACTTTCGATGCTAAATTTCCTGAGTTTCATAACTAACTGTGGTTAAGTAACAGAATATCCTTATTCTTAGGAAATATACATATATACATGATAGTATAAATGCATTAAAAAAAGACGATGTACGAATCCTATTTTCACATGGATCAAAAAAATAAACAAATGCACACATATCTGCATGTGTATGTATGTGTGTGTATGTTTGTGTGTGTGTGTGTGTGTGTGTGTGTGTGTGTGTGGAAAGACAGATAAATGTGGCACAATATTAAAAATAGTGAACTTGGGTAAAGATACCTGAGTTTTTTTTTTATTATTCTTGCACCTTGTAAGTTTGAAATTATTTCCAAAAAGGCGTTAACTACCCTTTCCCTTATTAGTCTTTTCACCTGCCCGACCCAGAATTTCCTGCCTCTCAACCTGGCATTCAGCACTTGGTTCATTTGAGTGAGTGTTTAGGTCCAATGAGAGTTCAGTGTTATTAGGCACGGAGATGCCTGAACTAAAGTTTTAAAAACTGTTCTCAGGTACAGTAAAAAATACAGCAAGTTTTGATCATATCATGCATAAGTTACCTCCGAGGAATAATGCAACTGTCATCTGAATTATTGATCATGGAAATCACATTTGAATATTATCTTTCCATTCTCCTTTATTCTATACTATTTTAAAAAGGCAGGAAGAGGGAAGAGGCTGATACATACTTCTTCTCTCGTGGCCTGGCATACTACTGAATTCCCCGAGGGCTGCATTTTTACAGGCACTCCTATTCAGGAGTGGCCAATTCAGTATCACAGAAAGTAAACGTGCATGACTGCCTTGCTCCCTTCACCCCACAGCCATGCAGACAACTGAACCTCTCTCAGCAGGCTGTCCCTGAACCTATCTGAGGTTGTGGTGTTTACCCAGACTCAGAACTTCTTCACAAAATCACAGGACAAATAAGCAATTTATTTAAATGCAAACACACTTTTAATATGATGCTTCTGGCGACCAAAGATGGGGTCAATAGGTACTGATTTTTCTAATAGTGTCTATGGAACAAGTTTAGCTCTTTGATTTAAACAATTCCATTGAGCAAAATAATGGCCAGCACAACACAGTCACCAATAGTGTGGGCTCTAGCAGCAGCACTGGGTTCTTCCTAGCTCCAACACTTACTCACTGTAAGACTTCAGACAAGGATATGATGCACCTGGACCCCAGTTTCGTCCCTTGTAAATAGGGACAATAATTGCATTTACTTCATAAGATCATTATGGGGATTAAGTAAGCTAATAAAGGTAAGGCACTTAACCTAAAGCATCCCATATAATACACAATAAATGCTATTGAAATAATAATAGTGATGGTAATAAAGAAACATACAAGGAGGAAAGTGATGATGACTGCAGTCTTTTGAAATACGGGCAGCAGTTTTAAGATATCCAAGTCTCTTGCTGGGACATCATTTATAAATAAATGCACACAGGGTATAAGTTCTATGAATGAGAGACTGACTAGAATCTATTGAGCATTAGGAGCAGTGGAAGCTCTTAGCTGGCGAACAACCAGCCCAGCAGCTAACTCACAAACTGCACTTTAGGTTCTATTAGATGGGCATCCCACCCCTGGCAACCCTACAGGATCCCCATGACCATCTGAGTGGGTCCTTGGGGAAACATTTCTTCACTGTTATTTTTTGGTAAGTTTCCTTACTTTTTTATTACAATTCTTTTCATAAAACATTATACTGGTTTCGGTATACAACATAATGATTCAATATTTGTATACATTTCTAAATGATCAACAGAATAAGTCTAGTTAACATCTGTTACTTTACATAAGTACAAAAAATTTTTTTCACCATAATGTTTATTGCTCTAAATTAAATAGATGTGGCACTCAGCTGGTTGCCACTTTAACACATCAATTCCTCTGGCTTTCAGGTGCCCCGCATAAAGCAAGGTATTCAAACAAACTAGAAGATTAGGGCTTCCTTGATGGCTCAGATGGTAAAGAATCTGCCTGCGATGCAGGAGACCAGGGTTGAATCCCTGGGTTGGGAAGATCCCCTGGAGAAGGGAATGGCTACCATACTCAAGTATTCTTGCCTGGAGAATCCCATGGACAGATGAGCCTGGTGGGCTACACTCCATGGGGTTGCAGAATCGGACATGATCAAGTGACTTTCACTTACTTAGAGAAGATGACTATTAAAAATTTTAAATCAGCATAATATACATTTTGGCTCAAAATGTACAGCTGACAAGACTGTTGTGGGCATAAGACAAGCAGAAAATAACTCACACAGTCACTATACTTAAAGTCTTAAGTGCTTTCTAAACTACCTGAAAAGGGGGCTCAGGGGACCAAAGCAGGCACCAAGTTTCTTAAATGACTGTTCAGACCCAACTCAGAGGAGAATAAAATAGTCCTTACAGCAGCCTAATGATCCAGCACACACAGAGCAATGGTTAGAGGCTGCTCATCGGAGACCATATTTACATTAACTACTAAAGACGCAGGATCCCAGAGGTCAGAAATATTTTCTGTGGCAGAAGTGTTAATTTCTAACATGATACTATAGAGAAACCAAAAGTTTAAAAATAGAAAGATTCTAATGAGTGGATCACATCCACGAGTATCTGATCATAAACAAAGCCAAATAGAAAGTTTTAGATGCTCAGAGCTACAAAGAACCTCAAAGATCACTACGGCCCCTGCTGCATAGAAAGACCAGCTTCTCTTATCTCTAAGCCTCCTTGCCAAATAGCCTTTGGGCTCATGTTTGGAGCATCTGCTGTCCCCTAAAGCCATCCACTTTTGTTTTTAGATTCTTCTCGCATTAAGAAAGTCCATCCTTTTTCTAAGTTCATGTTCACCTCAGTGTCTCATTGGCAAACAGAACTACTTCCTCTTTCATGGAGTGTCTGAATATCGAAAGGAATTATGGCACCTCTTTCCCAGACTGTCTTTAGACATTTTCTCAAACACTCTCTCTGTACTAAGAGAGTGGGACACAGGCTGAGCTTTGGGCAGGTCGGAACACCATAAGCATGGTATGATCAGTTGCGTGCTTAGCCGCTCAAGTCGCGTCCAACTCTTTGCAACCCTATGGACTGCAGCCCACCAGGCTCCTCTGTCCATGGAATTCTCCAGGCAAGAATACTGGATTGGGTGGCCATGCCTTCCTCCAGGGGTTCTTCCCAACCCAGGGATCGAACCCAGGTCTCCTGCATTGCGGGTGGATTCTTTACCCTTCAAGCCACCAGGGAAGCCTCATATGATCACTATCTTTCCCATTTCCATGGGCTTCCATGCCATTCTTTTATTGACTTAGAGCAGAGCTGGCATGCTTGGACGGTGAAAGGTGGTGCTAAAGGACACCTATACTCCTAATTTGCCTGTGCTCTATTTAATATGCTCCAGTTTCTCTACACTGGAAAAGAAAATGCTCTTGAAGAAGACAGTTATGAATACCACAGACACGCCTCTACAGAAGTGGTGCGGTACAAGGGAAAGATACTGTGCAATGAAAGAAAGGTGAACTGAAATCCTGCCACTTATCACATAGTTGCTATTTAGATTTTGGACAAATCCCTGGTTCCCACATCTGTATGTATAGATAATGCCCATATCTCAAAAGGACTTTGAGGAAAGTAAGAAAACACATTATTATATAGCACCCAACCTACAGTAGGACTCCTCCTTTTTCTTTCTTTTTAATGAAAACTACATTTTGGTGAATTCTTCTTTGTTTTTCTTTTGGCTGCATCATGTGGCATGTGGGAGATGTTAACATCTAAAATGTCTAAGATGATCTCATCTGTAATCTTGTTTCTCCTAATTCTCAAACTACACAGGACATCCATAGTTTTAAAACACTTTCAAGTCCATATTCTATATAAATAGTTCTTTTGTTTAGTTACATTAGGTAATTTGATTACTTATTTACTGATAATTTACATGACTGCAGTTGCTTGGCAGATTTTTATGCTAGATTCTAAATTATGCTTGATAAGTGA